GCTCGTCATCCCAGAGCTGATATTCACTTTAGGACTTAAAGTAATATCGAGACAATCCGCACAGGATGCACATACGCCAATAAGAGACTGATTAATTACAGTCCTAAATATCAGTGGGAAGGTTCAAACAAGTAATACAAAGTGAATTTAATGGTAAATACATTGAAACAGTTCTACGAGAAAGTAATATGTTGCAAAAGATCGACTACTAAATGGTGACCAATGTTATATTTGTTTAGTTCTTTAAGTCGAACTAAATTCTGTCGATCAAATTACAATACGGTAACTAATTTAAGTGAACTCCTCCAATGCTCAAGACTAAACAAAAATGTTAGGCATTATTATTCTGTAGTCAATCAGTGTAAGTATATCAGTCTTAATCAATTGATAACATTTGAAACTGTGGTACTAGATAATTTCTAGTTTCAATTCCACAAAGAATACTCGTCTTCAAGATTTCAAATGCGCTATGGTGAAAAAAGTTAACCAGAACGAAGTCTGAATCCATGTTTCATGAAACATCATGAAACCCTTAGATAGAAAAATAATAATTGTAGGAAAATGTTTTCAAATGACATGATTTGGTTATTAAAAATATTCTAGTTACCATGTTCAGTCTTACAGTCATTCTTGATTCGTGACGAAAACTCTGTAATAATACTTATAGCTAATTTTTAAATATATATATATATATATATATATATATATAATTTTTAAATATAAACAACAATAACAATAGAAATAATTATTATCATTTTAAGAGTTAAAGTTATTCAGTGATATTTCATATATTGCCAACCAACATCTATCGTTACGATAAACTACATGTATTTTCCATCTTCTGTTATCAGCTGGTATCGAATTTTAAAATAGTGAATTAAGGTGAATTGAATATATGTAATAAATATTAACCAAGTGATTTCCATATTTCCTGGTGAAAACGATAGAGATTTATCAGCTTATGAAATACTAGCATAACATAAGAAATACCTGATCCATATGAGTGATCTGTTAATTCATCATGATTTCATTATAGAACATTCTACAAGTTATTTAATTCATCGTCTTAGCATGTTTTTAGACTTGGTTCAGAAAACAAGCCAATTTCGATCATTCAGTATTGAAATAGACCTTCATAACTGGAAGAAACTTGTCCACACCATATAATGATATTAATTAAACAACTGTTGTAAACCAGGAAACGCTAGATAGATATTTCTTCTCTAGTGTAGGACACATCAGCAGTGTACATCCAAAACCCAATTTAGGGGTCGAAGCCGAAATCTTCATGTCTTGTGATAAGCACTTAACTTTCAAACGTGAAAGTCTACGTTTCTAACTTCGGGCAACATTCAACAAGATTATAATAGTATATGACTAATTTACATTTATTATAGTCTATTATTTAAGTAATTGTTATTTTGAGTTTAATATTTAAATACATTAATCGTTTGACTGACAACTTGCACAATCTCACTACTCATAAATCATTATTTTAGTAAGAAATTTAAAATATTTAATTACTAATATTAGTATACATTAACTTTACTATAAATACCATTGAGGGGTGTGCTACTGATGTCGACAGATATAAGTTGTATGTATCATCAATAGAAAGTGGAATGCCTGGAGACAGAAGGTTAAGAAGATCAAAGAGAGGAGAACGAGAACAGAGAGTAATTGGTATGGAAATGAAGGAACAACAAACTCTAAGACAGTTGATGGATATTTTTCAAATTAAGTATTTACTGTATAATTTTCAAATTTCATCAAGATATTCTGTAATGTTGTATTAAAATACATTTGGTTGCTCCCTCCTATGTTCTCATCCACAACACTACCACTATTAGTATAATTAATATTATTCAGAAGTATCCAGTTAGTCTTACAAATAGACAGGAAACAAACAGTGCTATTAGTATTTAACTCAGTTTATTTTAAAGAGACCGCGGTTAAAATAGAATCGTTTAGGTGTTTTTGATACCATGAGTGGAGTAATTTGACCACCAAGAAATAAACACTGAAATAAAATCTAAGTTATATATCTTATAAATTAATAATCGCATTTTTATCTGCCTATACATATATCCCTCATTCGATCAAACAAATTTACGATCAATTAACGATCATTCTTTTTTAATATATAATTGAAAGACTATCGAAATGTTAGAGAATATTTACAATTCATGTGGATAGTTGGATATTGTTAAATTCTTTGGTCTTTCATTGAACAAAATTACCAGTGTATAAGAACTCTCGTCTAAATTAGAGTGAATAGTTTCACAGTATTTCAGCGCCGAGTTGATTTAAGACACTAAATAGGAATAATATATTTGTAAAATCTCAGCTAATGATTTTGTGGTCAATCCAACGTTTCTCCTGGCAATCTGGTTCAAGCTTTTTCAAGTAATTAATTCCTATAAAATTACCAGTGGCTATTTGATGTAGATATTAACCTCTCAGTTATTCTAAAAGTTTCAGAGTATTTTTAAAAATATGATATTCAGATTATTTGGCACTCAGTAGATACATCATGATAGACCCTATCTATTAATTCATACAATGAAAATAAATTAACCACGTGGTCATAGATCAATGGAGTACTCTTTTTAACTTGAATACATGAACAAATGGAGATAACTAAATTTTTAAAAGCAACAAGTCATAATACGACACCATTAGAACGAACTGATTTGATTATTGCGGACTAATTTAGAAGCTCAGTTCTACATAATATACATACATAATATCTCTCATAACAGTACTGAAGGCTCTTCAGTTATTAATATTTATTCAGAGGAAGCAACGCTAGAATTTGGAGAACGTTATTTTCTGAACCTAATAATTCTTTTAATGTTAAGTTGCATCAAAGTACCTTCCCGACCAGAAAACAAAAAAAAATTCATAACTTTGCAATTCTAAGATTATTTATTTCTTATGTAATATGGAACATACATTGATGAGGGTGGTATACAGTAAATGAACGAAGAAAATAAGATCAAACCAATCACAAATAATAATTTGACTCCAACTGACTAAGTGAACCGATCAATGTTAGATCACCATTAAAAACCTGGAAACACTGAACGACCGTTTCGTTCCAGCATAAGACTCTTCATCAGCGCCTCGCGTGAGAATGCTTAATTTTTAGGTTTTCAATGGTGGCCTAACATTGATCGGTTCATTAATTCAATTAAAACTCATCATTCTCAACAACCCTACATTGATAATAATTTAGTATCAACTACATGTATTGTGTAAATATTCCGTGGATAAATGTGTTTCTTCTTTAATGTACATTTTATTCTCCATTTGTCAATCAGTGAGTGGTACATGTAAATATACAAACAAACACAATTATATAAAAACTCGTAACATTAATATATTTATGATTGACAGAGTGCAGAGATAAATAAATATTTTATTCAATAACAATGATATTATACTGTATAGAGAGGTACTTTTGTCATGAAACTGAGTACTAGTGGTTGTAGTAGTAGTGTGAGGATAGTAATGTCGATGTTAGATTTCAGATAAAGCAAATGTGCAGTATTTTTAGGAATTGAGTATTAAAATTAGTTTTTTATGAATGGTTTGAAGTCGTAGTAAAAACTAGTTTTAATGAAGATCAAATAGATTTTTTTGTCATATTACTGTTATGATATGTTGCGACTGCTAGTTATTAAAATAATTAATTAGCTGACCATTAAAAACAAGAAGCCACTAAACAGATGTTTTGTCGTAATATGGGGTTCCTCAGCAGTGTAAAAACATGAACTCAGTAACTTCACATTTTAACTCGACCCCTCAAAATTCAGATTACTTAGTTATCATCAAAGTGTTTACATGTCCAACTTAAATTAATCCATGTTAATGTACAACCATCTTCTATTTTGTTAATTTAATGACCACTGAGAATAAGAAGTTATTGACTGATAGTTATTTAACGCTAAGTGCGGAATTCCACACCAGTGTGCAACCATAGCCACGTCAGTGAGACGAAATCCCAATGGACGCTCTACAGTTGGACTATTGAACTGGAATTCAACTAATTAACTATGGCAATATCTACGCGATCAACTATCCAATCTTATAGATGAGTAATTATTTCACTATCAACACAGTTAAACGTTCATCCACTTCTCCCTCAATAATCATTTAACATTATATAAGTGTGGTTATTTGTAAAACTCTTACTTAAGGGAATAATATGTGAGGCTTCATTAATGATAAGATTTATTATAGTTGCTTGATGAGAGTCAGCATTTGCAAAAATAATTAAATTTAATCAATGAATTTTATGTCATTATAGTGTGTAAAGATGTGTTACAAGGACTACTGATTATTATCAAACTAATTAAACAAATATATTTAGAGTGGAAATTCTATCCATCAGTTGAAAATCAATGTTAAGTATTATTTTTTACATATTTATTGACCATTTTTAAGTAATATGTGAAGATTATTTATTCATTAGTGTATGATTATTTAACGCATTTATCGTTGACGTAAAATTAACTGCAACTGTGTAATAGTCGTCATCATGATAATTAATATTAATTAATATTATTAATATTTGATCAAAAAATTTAATAAAGCATTAAAACTCTCAGTTCATTTATGTTTGACATCAAGTGTTTGAAGGGAGTCAAATAGAAAGCTTTATTTATTGCAAGTTTCTTGATAGTTGATATTTGTCACGAAAGTGTATTGTGAGAATCGTTACTGTTCTGTACTGAGATTAGAGTTTTTCGATTAAATTAAATTTTAGAAAAAAACTTAATAATTAATAATCATTGTGAATCTTAGTGCGATAGTATGCGCGTGCGTATATCTATACTACGAGGCACTTAACTAATAATGAATACCGTTTAACATTATTACATCATGCATTAATGTATCTGCTGAAATTACAAATATATCACAGGATCATTAAGTTGTGACATATTAATCAAACAGTATATAATCCATCCAAATAACCGTATATTTCATAGACTTACTTTAATGGTGTTCAAATGATGCACTCTTTTATGTTCATCCATAATTAATTTCGATGTTGAACTGGTGAAACATAATGAACATGTATATAATCGATAAGTGTCCATTTGTTGTGAACATGGTAAATGTCTATCGAAACGTGAACGTAATATTGACTCGAAATTACAATGTTTGCATCGTAGTATATGAATTAGGGTTTTACTTTGATCATCATTACGATCATCATCATCAACATTATCAGCCTTGATATTATTATCAGTTTTTTCAATTTTAATGTTTCTAGAATGCTGAAAAGAAATATGAGTATTATTATTATCATTATTATCAGTAGTATTGATTACAGTTGCTTCAATAGGATTTGTATAGTTGGTAGTAGTTGTTTTCATAATCGTTGTTTCTGTCATATCAGTCATTTGAGAATTCGTGATATTGTTATCATCCATGGGATTATCCATGATATAAAAAATGTTATATTGATGAATGAAAAAATTAATGTATATATAAATAAATATTTCTGTTGGACAAACAAACTTATTATTATTATTATCTTTTTAGATGTGTCAGACAAGTAACCAAGTGTATATTAGCACACGTCCGTGATATCACAAAAGAATAGAACTGTGAATGATAGATGCCAGAAGAAATAAATTTCAGTTAAGGAAACCAATACACAAGGAATATATTTTAATAATAGTAATAATACTGATATCTAATACATATATATATTTATTTATGCATCGCAGATTTTACAGAATGTTTGTGTGTAGATCAGCTGAGACGAAATTCTCTTATTCAAATTGGTGATATTAAGAATACTAAAATACATGTCCGTCTTTTTTATCTCACTCACCTTAAAAATAACAAAGTTATCATCAAATATCAAATCATCATACTGACATACCTAATAAACATACATGCAAATATTATACATCAATATACATACAATTAATACACGAAGGGATACATATAACCAATATATACCTCACATTATCAAATAAATTAAACGATTTATCTTTAATTGTGTGTTGATGGAAGTATTTACTCTAATTGGTAGATTTGTTTATCGCGTTAACCAATTAACATTCAGATATTTGAGATAAACTACGTGGTAGGTACAATGATGTGATATTAACCATTCAGAATCCCGATAAGCCCCAGCAGGGGGTGGTTATTGTAACAGATTTGATTCAGTATTCTAGTTGAATAATTATTATCTTACCCAAAAAATAACATCGATAATGATAATAGTATTTGTATATATTTATCAAGTCAATGAGTTATTTTAAATAATAAATAGTTGAAAGGGGTGAAATACATGTTAGATATTTTTCAATCTATAATCACTAACATGTGCTAATCATGAGAAAGAAAAGACAGTTTACGATGAGTGATACCATGAAAATTGTATTGCGTATTCTATTTATTTTCAGGTTTACAATATGAAAAAAAGATTGACTACGTAGAGCATGAGGACGATTGAACTCAATACGATTTCAAAAGATTCCTATTCATCATGATATGTATTACAGAAACATTATAACTGTATAATCATTGGTAAATGTCATAACGATTCTGGTAAATAATTATACTGATGGAATAATATAATGCTTGCAGATAATTCAGTAGAATCTTTTAGAAAGGAGAAATAGCCATGGGTAGTAATCAATATTTTTGAAACAGCCATTATCAGTCAATATATTAGAGACTGGATTTATGATGTAAACACTTCACTCATACAGGAAAACAGTCAAATGCCTAAATAGTTCCGTTTCAGAGTTTATGAAATCGTTGATTAATATGGGTTGAAATCTAACGAGTAGCACTGATTCCCCCCTTGGGTTGAATGTAAAACCTGTAAACAGTATAAAGTTGTACATAGAGTAATTTCTGTTTTTCCTACTGAATGTCTACTACATTCACCCTACGTTTAAGAAGGTTACTTAGACTTGAAAGAATCCATTTAACATTAAGTGAACTAGACTAACATATCTCTAGTTAATACTATCCAGTAATTCGTCGATGGTTTACTTCAATTTCGTAATTGCTAAATACAAACAGGGTTTTCTATATTGAACAGTTGATATCAAAGTCAGACAATGACTAACAGTGTTATTCAGGACTGCAGTTACTCCTTGTTTACCAGTGATCACTAACATGAAACCTAAGTTAAAGAAAGTTTCCTGCTGACAACCTCTAATCGCCAGACGTCAGAACATAGTAGACACGATGTCTAAGCTCTTAGACTAGTGGCTACATTGTAACTTTATGGACAGGATTTCATCACCACAAAATGACTAGATAGACATAATATATTATGTCTACTTGCTACTCAACGATCAATCATTTTGGATATGTTGATTCTTTAATTTGAAGTTGATGGCAAACTAAATGGTTAAGTGACTATAAAGAGATAAAAATGAACAACTGAAAGCCTAGCACAAATCTACAGCAATGCAAATCGCCATACCGAATCAGCTCAGTCAAGACGAAATTAACAAGATGGATAAAAGAAATTGAGTTCTACATAGTTTCCTTGGCAGCGAGAAAGAATAAACATTGAGTGAATGTAGTTCTAAAAGGGGAGAATGAATTGAAGGAGTGAAAAAGTGAGCAGTAATATTAACGCTTTTAACTTACGGGAAAAATAAAGAGTTGACGAATCTAAATCACTATGATTCATCCTCAGTCGGCCCACTCAATGTCTTTAACCACTGATCCCAATTATCGTACAGATCCAAATTAGACAGTCCGTGCCTAATCCAATTTCCCTGTTTCTCTTCCTCATCCTTTTATCTGAATCTTTTACTGGTAAGTCTTTCACTTTCGATTCATGTTACAAAATACTTATAGTGCATGCCCCATTGCCAATCAAATTAAACAGTAATTTAATATACGCAACATACCAAAAATCTTTATTTGATTGCCTGTAAAAGCATGAATGTTTATTAGTGACAAATTTCAAACTGTAACGAATGATTTTTATTTTTATTAAACTGTAATGTAAGTTCAATCAATTGAATGGAATTCGTCACTATATGTCAACTTCATTGACTATGAAAAAGCATTTGACAGTGTGGATAGAAAAATCTTATGGAAACTTCCTCGACACTATGGTGCACCTGAGAAAATCGTCAACATCATCCGGAATTCATGCGAAGGACTACACAGCGAAGCTATGCATAAAGGACAGCTGACAAATGCATTCCAAGTGAGGACCGGGGTCAGACAAGGATGCTTACTTTTTCTTGTGGTGGTCAACTGAATTATGAAGACCTCGAAATCTGATAGGATGTACGAAATACAGTGGATAATTTGCATACAACTGGACGGTTTGGACTTCGCAGACGATCTAGCTCTTCTATTTCATACAGAGTAACAAATGCAAGTCAAGACAACCACTGTAATGGAAGTCTTTGCATCATTAGGCCTTAACACACACAAGGGGAAGAACAAGATCCTCAAATACAATACGGAGAACACCAATCCAATAACACTTGATAGAGAAGCTCTGGATGGGGTGGAAACTTCAACTTACCTGAACAGTATCATTGATCAACGAAGAGGATCCAATGCAAACGTAAAGATAAGTGTTGGCAAAGTAAAGGCAGCATTCCTACAGTCGAAGAATACATGGAACTCAAAACAACTGTCAACCAACATCAAAATCAGAATCCTAAATACGAACATCAAGACAGTTCCACTGTATAGAGCTGAAATCTGCAAAACTACTATAACCATCACAAAAAATGCACAAGTACTTATAAACAATTGTCTACACAAGAAACTTAATGTCCATTAACCGGATAACATCAGCAACAGCCTACTGTGGGAGAGAACAAACCAACTTCCAACTGAAGAGGAAATTAGGAAAATATGGTGGAAGTGGATGGGACACACGTTGTAGAAACCAAACTGCATCATGAGGCAAGAGCTAACTTGGAATCCTTAGAGAAAAAGGAAAAGAGGAAGACCAAGGAGCACATTACATGGAAAATTGGATGCAGACATCAAAGGGATGAATGGCAGCTGGAAAGAACTGGAAGGGATTGGTAGGGACAGAGTTGGATGGAGAATGCTGGTGGTCGGCCTATGCTCCTCCACGAGGGGTAACAGGCGTAAGTATGTATAGGGATTAAACCGGTCCATTTAAAAACTCAATATTGATAAATAGTACCTTTTACTGATAAGTCTGGGAATAGAATATATATAAGGTTTATTTACAAGTGAAATGGTAGTGGACATCCGTAACATTTTTAACTGATAAGTTCCTATCAGTGATACACTTACGATACCGTATATGGAACTAAATCTCATGATCTTTCTTGAATTTCACGATAATCATTGTAAGCTTTCAGCTCTAATCAATTTGTACTAATAACAGTTTTCAGTGAATTATTCGGTTAATCTAGGTAATAGTTAACATTATTACAATATACTAAGTTTGTAATCTACAATAGGTCACGACTTCGAACACTAATCCCCTCCTTCAAATTCTTATTATTATTATTCGGATTACTGAGTAGTGTGTTATCAATGGTCCTTATAAAACTATGTATGTGATGGTAGTTAACATCGTCAATTACAGATTTCGATAAAATGCCTTAAAAAATTTATGTCACTGTTGAACACAAGTTTTATCGAGTTCTTTACGTGTATGGGGGGGGGAGGTAAATATCATAAAAATCAATTCTTCTTCAAATGTCATTTATAACACCCTCTTTATCTCGAATTTCCTAGGTGAATTAATTTATTTAAATTACATTTCTTCATAAATCGATCCTTTGAATACGACAGACACGAATGTTGAAGTCAGTATCAGTAAGCTTCGTAAATGATCTATTCTAAAGACAAACTGGGTTCAAAATGATGACAGTTGATTGGAATATTAAATTTGAACGTCCAGAGTGGTAGATGAACATACGAATATACACCTAGAAGAGGAGTGGCGTTTTACGTCGTTTGTGCCGAGACATGATCAGATTATTTGACCAAACGCCTTCAGCTAATCTCTGCAAATAATAAGGTTAGTGTAGTTAATGACATCTATAAAGTTATCATATTATCTAAGGAGTTATTTACCTGCAAAACATTTCAATATTTTTAAGAATCATTTCTCAATAAATTAGCTGTTTCGATTAATCATGTCCAGTAAAGTTAGCCAATTGGATATTGATGATAAAGCAACTATCTGTTGATGATAATATCAACGGGTCATGATGTATTTAAAAATCACAGAGACAGAAAATATGTAACAACAGTTTTCAGTCGTATATGAAGTTACTCATAGATATTATCAAAAAATAATAAATTGACAACTTAATTTGTTGTGAAGACCTTACTTGACAAGTAAAAACAACACATAGGATTGTTGGCTTATTCAGTTTTGAGTGGTACTGTTTTAATGGTGCGAAGCGAGTTCAATTTGAAGTAATATCACAAGTTCAAAGGTGCCTCCAGTTTCATCTACTTTAGTTTGAGTTAACAGATGAAAGTATTAGTAGTAGTATAAGTAGTAATAGCAGTATTTTTAACTAGTCGATCAGTAATTTACCTGTAACCGTGAAAAAAGCCTCTCTTTATTCGAACACTGAGGCTAACATTTGTCAATTATGTAGTTTCAGAATGATGGCTTGTGGAGGTTGTAGTAATTTTAATATTTGAATTTATGAATCAATTTAAGCTAGATCACCATTAAAAACCAAGATGGCTTGGATAACCATTTCGTCCAAGTATGAGACTGTTTAGCAGTGCATATCCATTATGGAGTGGTTGAAGTTAGACAGTAACACCGTTGGATGCCGGTTCAGTGGTCTAGAAGTTAATCGTTCGTATG